ACCTCTTACCCTGCTCCCGCTCCCGCTCTCCCTGCCGCCGCAGAGGAGGAGGCTCTGGCCGCGCTGGCCGCCTTCCCCGGCGTCTCCATCATCAACGACCGCGCCAACAACCGCTTCCCCACGCCGCTGGACGCCTCGAACCAGGTGCGTGCCGCGCCGCGGTGAGAGGCATGGGGACCCGTTGGGGGCAGTGTTTGTGTGTGTGTGTGGAGGGGGGGGGGAGGCGCCGCGTTTTCGCGCGGCATCCGCTGTGGCGGAAGCTGCTGCGGCGAGGCTGACGAGGCCCGGTACCATGCCCGTACCATGCACCTCCGCCCGCCGCTTCACCCCACCTCCTCGCCATCTCCCTCCTCCAACCATACACGCTCATCCCTCCTCCCTCCCTCCCCTGCCCTCCCCTGCCCCTCCCCTCTCCCCCTCCTCCCCCCCCAACCACCCGCCACAGGATGACGTGTATGTGGGGCGGGTGCGCCGCGACGTCTCCCGCCCCGATGCCAAGGGCCTCGACATCTTTGTGTGCGGCGACCAGATCAAGAAGGGCGCCGCGCTCAACGCGGTGCAGGTGGCCGAGCTGCTGCTGTGAGGCGGCCCGCTGCCTTTTGCTGGTCTGCTCATCAGGAGCCCGGCTGCTGGTGCCAGGAGGCGGGCTCGGCTCCGTCTCTTGGCTGTGCCTCCCGAGGCGGCCGGCGGCTGGCGTGCACGAGGCCGGCTGGCCGGCTGCGGAGCCGGCAGCCGCGGCCGGCCCGCCGACGCCACGCTTGTCCCAGCCCATTCTTTGCCCGCGCGGCAGGCACGCGGGCTGCCCCATCTTGGCAGCCTGCCCTGCCGCCGCCGCCGTGGGCCCGTATGCCTTTGTTTACCTGACTCCCCGCGCCCCCTCCTGCCATCCCATCCCGGCTGCGCTGTTGCCGCTACCCAGCCACGCCGCCACCGCTGCGCATCGGCTCGCCTGTCCCGCCGTGTGAGTGTGTGTTGCCTTCCGGGGCGCCGTCTGGCACTTGTGAGTGTAGCGTAATGCCTTGTCCCCTTTTTCCATTCCCACTCCGCTTTTTCCCTGCCATCCCAGCTCGGGAGGCGGCGGTGCCGCGGTGGGCGGTGCCCCCTGCTGCCTCTGTTGCTCCGCTCTGTCCCGTCGCTCCGTCACACCTGTCCAAAGCACTGCCTAGCCCTCCCTGTGTGCCGCGACGCTCGCCTCAAACGATACCTGCGCGCTCGCTGCCTGCACCGTGCGCATCGGGCGCACTCCACCTGTAACAGCCTCGCAGCAGCAGCAGCCTGAGGTGGTGCCGCCGCGCGGCACGGCGGAGGCGAGGTGAAGCGGCGCAGGCCTGGGCTGTACGGCTGATGGGCAGGCGAGGGATGCGCAGCAAGATTGGGGTTGACAGAGGTGGTGCACTTTGTCTGGCCATTGGCAGATCGCTGCGTCTGGGCCGGGCGCCGCGACAGCACGGCTTGCGGCGGCGGGTGGCGGCGGCGGGTGGGGGCACCCAGCCAGGTTTGTTGGTGCCGCAGCGGCGCCGCTGCTGCCCAATCCCAGGGATTGGCACGTGGGTCACGGATTGCCATCGATTGGCATCGAGCGGCGCCTGTGTGCGCTGCCATCGCCGGCTGCCTCCAGGACCCGTTCAGCTGACCCAGGCGTTGCCAGATGAGGCCCATTCCCAGCCTCCGCTCC